TACTTTAAGAAATTTGAGTATTGATAGCATAACAAGATATGCTATATGTGAATGAATTGTGAATTAAAAATAGCATTTGGTAGTTTATAAACACTAGCAATTCTTTAAGCGTGACAAAATTTTCATGCGGGCCAAAAAATTTAATACCATACCGCTATTGAAAATTTTAAGCGGGACCAAAAAATTAAAAATGTAAAGGCAATAAGAAAAAGAAATGTAAAATCGATTTTCATTTTTCCCAAGGCAAAAACCTAGATCTAGATATATATAATATAACAATATATTTTCGTGGTAATAGACAAAACAATAACAAAAAAATAATTACTATTGTATCAAGCCTACTATCGCAGTCGATGACATAACACTTTTTAAAACATTATGATTGCTTAATATAGCGTTTTTCAGGTGCTAACAAGAAAAATAATATCTTCTTCATTTCATTCAGTAAATATGATAGATCTTTCCACTTTCATTTGCTCCAAATTTTATGAGATAGCATTAGCCATCAATACGTCTTACCTTCTCTTCTCTGCCTTTTTCACTTTTAATATGCAAGCTGGATTTGCTATGCTGACTGCTGGTTCTGTCAGCTCCAAAAACGTCACGAGCGTCATGCTCACAAACATTATTGACGTTTGAATATGTGCGTCATGCTATATCATTTCTTTTATATATTTTTATATTCCAATAATTGAGTTACCACAATAAACATAAATTTATCACATAAATTATAAAGTTATCGTGATAAAATATGATTTAACAAGATATATTTATAAATTTATTAATATATATATATATATATATATTGTTATCGTGCTAATCTACTAAATAATCATCTAATTCATAATATGTTCTTATCTCTGCATTTATGAACAACAATATTATCAAAATCCGAATTAAAAACTTAATGTTGTATTGATATAAATATGTTAACATATCACGATACTATATAATTTACCATGCTAAACAAATAGTTATACATTAAAGTCACAAAGTGTTTTCATATATCTTATAATGAATAGAGTTATCGATTTTTGATAACAGTGTTATCGATCCATTTATAAAGATTATCACTTGCATTGTCAATCTAAAAAGGAATTTTATGATTGATGGTATTTTTGTAATTAAAATTAAGAAAGCGAAAATATGATTAAAAATAGGGTGACAAAAAAACTAAATATGAAATAAACCACTAGCGTTCGTATTCCCCACAGAATCCAGACCGGCATGTGGCGGAGATCGGGCAGAGCTCCAACGGGAAGTTCGATGTAATCATCTCTGTTGGCAAGCTCTTTCAGCTTGAAATCGTTTGCCGCCAAGAGATAAATTATGGAGAATAATAGAATGGAGACAAAACCCAAATACCGAACACATATATATGGATTATGCTTCAAGAGAGGCCCGAACACCATGGACAAGTAAAGACTACTATTTGCCCCTACCCAAAATAGGAATATTTTACTCATGAGAATATATATATTTAATTTTCTTTTAACTGTGTATATAAGATTTATATCTCCCAAATTAATAACTACCGTTTGAAGTCCAAAAGTATTTTTTGAATAACACTGGGTTGTTCTTGCTTTGTTATATTTATCATTATGAGATAGCTTTTTCTCATCTCTTGTTTTTCTTTAAATACTCTTTAGCAATGATGGGAGGATATCAAGATTCCATTGGTAAATTAATATTCTCTAGTTTCCCCTAGTTGAAAATGATTTTCCCTCCCACTTTATTTTTTAAGTAAAATGATAGCATGAGATAGCAGTTATGCACCATGAAAGATAACTGAATTGTTGGCAATGCATACGATATATTATAAATAATTTAATACAACAACCATTGTTTCTGCATCCAACATCGAAAAATCACAAAGATCAAGGACAATCACCATCAGAGAATAAACAAAAACATTACAATTAAGTAACGTACATCTCTTTGGTGAACATATTATGTGACCATTAAGGGTAGCCAATGTTGATGGCTTTCATTACTATCTTGCTTGCTTCTTGTATAATATCTAGCATTAATAACGCCAATAAATAGATATATGTGTACACATATACATATGTGTAAATGATGTATTATTTGAGAAAGAGTACAAAGAGCATGAGATAAACAATCTTTTCCTTAGACCATCCTTATCGATGGTATTTTAGGCAGTTCTTAAGTTAAATTTTGTTTTAATTAAATCCAAAATTAACATTATTAACTAAAGTACGTATCTTGCTTAAGATACAGATTTGTTGGTAAGAAACGTCGAAGTGGCAGGTGTCGATTGGGTGTTATTAAAAATATATAAGAGAAAAATGCAATTCTCTCAATTTTCTTTCTTCCTTTCTCTCTCTCTTTTCGTGAAACAAGCAAAGCAGAACGACAAAGATTTCTCCGATTCGTCTCAAAATTGGATGAATCTGCCAAAAGAAACCATCACTAGCCGTCGTTCCTCTCTATATACGTTTTGCAGGATATCCAGAGTAGTTTCTGATGAAGATTTGAAATTTCATATTGAAAATTTGGAGGAACGAAATGAGTCTGATGAGATATTGGAAGATGTTATTCGTAATGATCGCATTTCATACGCTGCTAAACGCTGCAAACCCAAGATACTTAATTGAATCGTTTTGTGGATATCTTCAATTTTCATTGTGCCTTTTTTAGTCTTTGTTTTGATTATTGAGGTTATAATTAAGCTTTTTCCTCTTCTTTAGGATGGTGAAATAATAATAATTTTATTAAGTATTCGGATTAATAATTACTGGTTATTTAATAATTTAAATTTCAATTAACGAAATTATTTTGATTAATGTAAGAAAATAAATTAATTTATTTTATTATCTTTTGAAAGAAAATTGGTAGGAAATTAGAGTGAAATAATTCGTAGGAAATTGGAATTAATAGAGTTTTCGTAGGAAAATAGAAGGAAGCTTTTTTGAAGGAAATTAGAAGGAAAACGTTTCCTACGCAATAGTGGAAGGAAAACGGTCAGAAATACCCTTCGTCTTTCCTACGAAAATACCTACAAAAGTTCCTTCGGCGCGTTTTTGGTAGGAAATTTCCTACCAATATCTTGCCACCTTCGATTTCCTACGGGCGATTTCCTACCATTTTAATCGTAGGAATATCGTAAGAAACGGCTGTTTCCCACCATTTTTCACGCAACTGACCGTAGGAAATCGATGTTTTCTACCATTTTAAATTTAAAAGACGCTTTAAAAAATTTGGCGGTAAAGTTTTTGGCGGAAAATTTTTGGGGGGAAATTTTTTGGAAGGAATATTCCTTCCTTTGGGAAAGAATATTCTTTCAGCTAGGGGTAAAATGGCAATTAAAATTTAAGAGAGGGCAAAAATGAAAAAGGCAAAAATAGGGTATTTTTAAAAGAGGGTATCATAAAAAGGTTATTGGTATCAATTTCTCAAAAAATAAAGTGATTATTTGCTAATTTAAACAAATTTTTTTCTCTTAAATCTCTATATAAAAAAACCGATGAAGAAACATATTTATGGCTCAGAAAAAAATGTAACCACATAAACTTTGTATATTCTCAAAAATCTAAATATTCCGCAAATATTTAGTCACTAATTTGTTGCTAAAACATGAAAGTATACAAAATTACATATTTGAAAAAAAATTACATATTTGAAATATGAAAGTATACAAAATTACATATTTGAAAAGAAAAATATATTTTAGAAACTATTATACTACAAATTATATTGACTTCGGTTATCCTTATTTAAAGTTAATAATGTCTATTTTTAGTTTCCTTTTATTCACCCCTCTTGTTTTAGCCAAAGAGATTGCACTATGACATATTACATTTAAATATAAATTATAAATTATAAATTAAAAAATTATACATATTAAAAAAGTAAAACATTTTATAAACACATTTATTTTGTTAAACTCATAATCTCGTTTAATTGTACCATCTAAATCTAAATTCTCTTTTATAAATTGAAAAAGACTAATAACCTTGAATAAATTGTGTAATCTAAACTATACTCCTTATTTATAAACATAAATATACATAAAACCTTGGTTAATTGTAAATTTAAACCATAATCCTTATTTATAAATCCAGGCAACCATATAACATGTTTTGTTTTAAAAACTAAACTTTAATCCTTCTTTATAAACTAAAATTGACATATATAATCTCGTTTAATTATAATATTAAACCCTAATCTCTTTGATAAATTCAAACCGACATAACCAAGAATTATAAGTAAAAAATTCTGAATATTTTCATTTTTGTAATTTTAATTTTTATCAAATTTTTTAGATGTGTCACATTCCGGTAATAATTTCACTTTTGGCCAGTGTTAGTGATTAATTTTGTTAACGTGCTATACCATAAAGGCATAAACTAAAACCTCATTCGATAAAATTGTGGAGACATGATGGATTAGACATCAACATAACTAATACTCCATATGGCTCAGTTTAAAGGATTGATAAGGTTTTCTCACACAAACTAATAAAATACATACTGTAATTTTGTTTAATTTATCTTTTTTACATAAAATACTACTACATAAAAAGAATTCAAACATTACGAAAATATAAATAAAATATGATTGGTCAAAGAAAAATACATTTAATTTTAGCATAGAAAATTAAAAACATCGCTTAAAATTAAAGAAAAAAAATCTAAAACAAAATTGAAACCGAAAGAGTAACATAACATGGATTTTTTTTTCTACAACAATTATAAAGTATATAAAGAGAAAAAAAAAAGAAGAGGAAAAAAAAAATTAAAAACATTATTTGATGACAATATAGTATATCACATGATTGCTATTTTCATACTCTTCATTATTGTTTGGCAAATCATCTAAAAAAAAAAAAAAAAAGAGCGAGTCACATGGAGTTCCAAATTTGGTTGGCAAGGTATCTATAAATAGACAAGTTGCCTAGTTTCATGCACTAAGCTTACCCATAAAATCAGATTGATCACATGCTAACATCAATCATAATAACAAATAGAGAGAGAGACATGACTGAAGAGAGCCCAGAAGAGGATCATGGATCTCCTGAAATAGCTGAAACAAATCCAGGAAGCCCTTCTTCAAAGACCAACAACAACAATAACAACAACAACAACAACAACAAAGAACAAGATCGGTTCCTTCCCATAGCTAATGTCGGAAGGATCATGAAAAAGGTTCTTCCAGGTAATGGTAAGATCTCAAAAGACGCTAAAGAAACCGTTCAAGAATGCGTCTCGGAGTTCATAAGTTTTGTCACTGGTGAAGCTTCTGATAAGTGTCAAAGAGAGAAGAGGAAGACCATCAATGGAGATGACATCATTTGGGCCATTACAACTCTTGGTTTCGAAGACTACGTTGCTCCATTAAAGGTTTACCTATGCAAATATAGAGACACCGAAGGAGAAAAAGTTAACAGCCCAAAACAACAACAACAACAACAACAAAGACAACAGCAACAACAACAGATTCAACAACAGAATCATCATAATTATAACCAGTTCCAAGAACAAGACCAAAACAACAATAACATGTCATGTACTAGTTACATCTCTCATCATCATCATTCTCCATTCTTACCGGCTGATCATCAACCATTTCCAAATATTGCTTTCTCTCCTAAACCATTACAGAAACAGTTCCCTCAGCAGCATGATAATATTGATTCCATTCATTGGTGAGAGACTTTTGTTTTAATTTTTTTTTTCTTTCTATAAATTATATGCTTTCTTGACCTTTTTGTGAGTACAATCTTGATGCTTATATTAATTTGTTGCTATATACAGACAGACACATTAGATACGTACACATCTTGATATTTTTCGTGTAACAGAATGATTACTAATTCTTCATACATATATTTTTCGGATTGTGATGAAACTGAATCGCACAATAGGAATATGTAGCAAGACTAAATAAGACAAGTGGGTTTAACTCATGGTTTCTAAAAGTAGAATCTCATTCCATGTTGATAGTCCTAAGAAAGTGAAACCTATCACCTTACTGTTTGAAAGTTACCAAAATGTTATAGCTAAAGAGAATAGTGTTTTGGTTCATCGTTCATTGTTCCTCGTAGCCCTGGGCATAAAAACCGGAACCAAAAATCCGAACCATTACCGACCCAAAAATAACTTCGGATACGGTTATTTTCTAAATAACCGATTGATAATGTCCTCCTCTATCCGTGAATATCGGTTTAGGTTCGAATATTACACAAGAACCGAATGGATACCCAATTATCCAAAACTATATAAACCTAAAATCCTAAGTTCCCTAACCCGGCTTCACCTTTCATCATTTTTGCAGCTGCTTAGGATCGATTTTTGTGTTTGATTGAAGTTTGAACTGGTTTAAGGTTTTTTATATATTTATTTTTGGGAATTTTGCTACATTTCGGATACAAACTGGTCCATTTGACCTGAACCAAACGGATTTCCAAGAAATAATTTGGTTCCAAAAATGTAGAACTGAACCGACCATGAAACAAGAAGATCCGAACAGATATCCGAACAAAACTTCTCAGGTTTTAAATGGATAAAAATTTCTTATACCCAAAACATCCAAACCGACCGGTTATTACCCAAACCCTACCGGAATACCGAATGCACAACCTTAATTTCTCACTTCTAATAGTATCTTATATCTCGGAACATGATGCAATACCAATAATATTCGATACAAATCATACACGTAAGGGATCTGTAAGTAATATGTTGCTGCTATGAATCAGATTGGAGCAACCCAATTTTTCTTTTTTATATTTTACATATAAATAACAGAAAGTGGGAAACTATGAATCTGATTGGGTAAGAAGCAACCAAATAATCAACATTTTTTTTTTCTTTACATAAAAACAAGAGAGAGCAGCAACTATGAATCTGCTTGGATATTATGATTATATGAAGCAAAGGCATTATGAATTTTTACATATAAATAAGATAAAAGTAGACTTATTCATTTTGGGGAACCAGATTTAGTCATCTTTGTAGACCAAAGTCGGATACTCTGGATTCCACATGTTGTTTTCCACGTACTCCATCAGCTCCTCCTGCGAACACACACAAGAACCTCGTCAACATAACCAAACATTTCGGTTTAGTTTTTTGGTTGGTCTTTATAACCAAGCTCATATACATCCTAAGCAGTAGGCCTGGGCGTTCGGGTTCAGTTCGAATATTTTGGATTTTTAGGTTTAGAGATATAGAACCCGTTCGGGTATTTTTAGATTTTGGGTTCAGTACGGGTGTGGATCAGGTATTTCGGGTTCGGATTCGAATTATCCAAAATTCTCAAAACTCAAAATTTGAGGATCCAAATATGTCTAAACTACAAAAAAAATCTCAAAACTTGTATAATTTTTTACAAAAATTTACTTAGAATAGAGTATCTAACTTAAAAAATCTAAAATATACCAAAAAAACTGAACTTTTTTGACATTATTAATAGATTATTACTATATATTTATATTATCAGTGTATTTGGATATCAGTTCGGGTTTTGGTTTGGATCGGGTTTGGGTTTTCGAGTTTAGATATATAGCCCCGTTCGGGTATTTCTAGCTTTCGGGTTCGGGTTCGGATCGGATTTTTTGAATCGGGTTTGGATCGAATTTTTGGGTTCGGTTATTTTGCCCATTGTTTCCAATTATACTATAGCTGGTCATGAGATTACCTCGTTAAGCTTTTGGAGCTCACGAGCATCCATTTCTCTATATCCACCGACCAAATCCTCCTCGATAGCTTCCGTAATCACCGCAGCTGCTATTCTTTTTGTTATGTCTCGTATCCTGCGATTTTTATTTCCACACGCCAGATTTAACATCTCTATCGAAACCTTTCTCTTATGCAACACTAAGAATGTACTTTTTATTGTGTTACCTTGATATTGGAGGATATATAATCCCCTGTAGCACTTCTTCTTCGCTCATGTATGCTGCTAGACTGCAGTTGTTTAGCAGAACAGTGTCATGATTCAACATTCATCAAACATGAGACTTGATTGATTTCAAGGTCTCCTTATAACACGATCTACATCAACTACTGTATGAAACCTCAACAGTACTTTGGTTGCTGTCTCGTGGGTGTAGTAGGTATGTTATATAGTCCATGACATCAGTCAAACATATGATCGATAATATTCAAGCATTCTTTATAAATTTGAATTTGGTCCATAGTTATATATATCATGGCACTCACTTAGCTTAGATGAAGTTAAAATCAGTGATATAAATGCACTAGGTAAGAAAAATAGCTTACCACTCAGCTGCGGCCTGCAGCATCCCATCCGAGACGATGGGAGCACCAGATAGAAGAGTACCAAGTCCAATACTACATAAAAATTACAGGATAAAAAAAATAATTATCTTCAGGATCATTATTAATGCATCAAGTCAAGAGCGTATGCAATTCTTTCCCACGAAAACTAACCCTGGGAATAGGTACATGTTGTTTCCCTGGTTGCAATGTCCTACTTGACCATTTCCTGCCACAAATAAGGTACTACTATATCAAATTAAAAGCCTTAAGAGTGAACAAATATCTAGTGCTTACATAACTGAAAATATAGGAGCAGTAAGTATTTTCTTCCCATATAAAAAATTGTGTACGACAAATGATGCAGTGGTACATACCAAATTCCACATTCTTGAATGGGCTTCCACTCGCAAAAATCATATTCTCGCCTAATATAGAAAATGCATCTTGAGGCGTGCATTCAGCTGTAATTTAAGCACAAGTAACTATTACATCAATTCTGACTAGAATCTCAAATAACTGCAAACCACATCTGTAAACGAAGGGGACAAAGTACCATTTTTTGTGGGGTTTGACATTGCAAAAATAGCAGGTCTTGTTGAGGTTGAACCTTTCATGGCTTCTAAAACCTTAAACACAATATCCCAACAATGAGTTTCAATATATCAACTGCTATATGTCAGAATCATGCAAGCAAGACGCATATATGTTTAGCCGTTTGGCAGCTTTCCTTACCTCTTTTGAGAATAACCCTCCAACTGCAGATAGACCAAGAAGTACATCAGGTTTAACTTCACGAACCTAGCCACAGATGAAACAGAAAACAGTTAGTTTATTACTAGTATTAAGTAGAATAACTTTTTAAGGGAGAAGTTTTATCAAACACCAGACTCATTGCCAAATTTGATATAGTATACTTGATGAACATATTAGAATAAAGAATCACAGACCACTTCCGCAAGTGTTGCTCCTTCTTTTAATCCCTGACGATCCATTTCTTTAGTCTTCCTAGCAAAAGGCTGAGCCTCTGGATCAATATTTTCTCGTCCTTCAGTGATAAGACCCTGATTTAAGTGCAACAAAAAGAGTTAACAACTTCAGATCCTTCAGTTATTGGACGAAAAGGTCCAACACACATGCCAAAACAAAACGGGTAGTGAAGTGATTTGACAAGCAGTCAAAGGAAACCAAAGGGAAAACGTCTTATCAGCTCCATACACCGAAAATCAGTCACACCACTATATACAAATATACCTGAGCATCAACCACCCAAAATTGACTTTGTGCACTATCAAATGCAGTTTCAGTATTTCCCAACATCCGTGCCATTGTCTTCCTTGCAGCATTTAGAACACCGATTCCCGCACTGCAAAAATCAAAGATTTTTAAAGGAAGCTCAATATTCTGATATTACTATCCTTAGCTAACTTATGCAGTTATGCAGCTAAAAGTTTCCATCTGTTAAATCTCTTTAAACAATCAATAGTCAGAACTAATAATACTAAGACCAGTTTTTTACCAATACATCTCTGGTAAACTAGGACCCAAAAAGACTAGAAAGTAGCATCAGAGAAGGGCTTACCTTCCAGCACCAGCAACAACGATCTTCATCTTTGGAAAATCAATCATAGGCCTCCCCTGCGCTCTAACTGCTCCAAGAAGACCAGCAATCGCAACCCCTGCGGTCCCCTAAGCCAGATGATGAAAACATATTAGTCAGCATGAAAAATAAGATTATACTGTAAGCATTTAGATTTCCTATAGTCTGTTTAATGGATCTGGTCGTCTGGAAAAGATTAAGAATAACTATTGTACTATAAGATGATGGTTAGAGCACATGATATATGATAAAACTGTAGTGCCTAATTATTTCAAACATAGTAGTGCCCGGGCAAATGCCAGGCAAACTTAACTGATACATTGACCTAATATAAATAATTTCAGAATAAAAAAATGGCATTTCACCTTCACAATAATCATTCTAAGGCAGAAGACTCATTACCTGGACATCATCATTGAACATTCGATTGGTATATCTATACCTCTGCAATAATTTGAAAGCCCACTTGCTCTGGAAATCCTCAAACTGTAGGTAGAAAAACAAAAACGTTTCTCAATAAGAAACATTTGATATACCAAATGTCTATAAAACATTGGTTACCTGCACAATAACATGTGGCCACCGGGTATACACTGCCTCCATAAATTCATCAATAATAGCTATATATTCATCATCTTCCAAACGACGTTGCTGCAGACCCAAATCTGTCAAAACAAAATAGAGAGAACGATTACACGACAGGTATGTATGTATTCATGCACAAATCTCAAATACGCATTATCTACTTCCGTATGTTAAAGGCAGATAATAAACATGCTTCAGCATACTAAAATCGCAAACATCAGGAAACAGTTATATTATATGTAGT